AAAGGATGTGCTGACCGGGCTTGTCTTGTTCGTCTGATTGGTATTGCTAGTGAAGGGATGATTGCAGAGATTTCCAAAGAACATTTCCCGTGGAAGTATCGATAGAAAAGTGAAAGGTCGCCGACCTTTCTACGGTGTTCCAATGATGTCAAAGAGTGAGTGAGTGTGGCGTCACCCACCAGGCGAATGGCTCTTCTCTGGATGGAATCTAAGAGCATCAGCGTATGTTTTGGTGCTGAACCCCATATGTGGGAACAGTATTCTAGAACAGGCCGTATCTGCGCTTTGTAGATCATGAGAAGCTGTTGAGGTGTAAAGTAGCTTTTCGCACGGAACAAGAATCCGAGTTTTTGTGAAGCAGCTTTTGCGATGGATCTGACATGATTATCCCATGAAAGAGTGTTGCTGATGGAAATACCGAGCATAGATATGGTGGGCTTGGTGGGGATGGTGGAGCCAGACATTACAATATCGGGCATACTGAGTTCCACCTTTCTAGAGAAAATGCAGGCTTGAGTTTTGGGGGCGTTGAATTCAACTAGGTTGTTCGTTCCCCAGGCTGTGATTTCAGCAAGATCTTCATTGACAGCATTGACCTGCCTGCGCCGTGAGTTCTTAGTTTCCTGGGAAGAAATGGGAATTCTGGAAGAGAACGCAGTATGGAGGGTACTATCATCTGCAAAGCTGTGGATGGGGCAAGTTGTTACTCCCAACAGATCATTGATATGAAGCAGGAATAATGTTGGTGCCAAAATTGATCCTTGTGGAACGCCGGAATTGATGCCAATTATGACAAGTCGTTATTGATAAATACGAGGATGAATACCTACTAGATTCTTGTGCCATTCCTGCGAATCTCGCATCAGAATAGTGAATTTGGGCTACTTATAACAGAGGTGGGCTATGTCTCCATTGACCAGTAGTTCATAAAATAACGAAAACTACCTTGGTAGTAAAATACACTTCACGCCTTGAAAAGGAGTAAATAATGGTAGGTTCTATAGCTATATAGCTAGGCAATCTGATCAATAAAAAGTTTTTCTCAAAAAAAATCGAAAACGGTTAAAAAATTACTATGGGGACATGCTATACGATTTTTCCAAAAAAATGTGTAGATTTCAAGAATATGATAAAATACAGGGCGTTCCATTCAAAATAAGGACGTTTGTATCCACTGTCAGTTTATCCTCCGCAAGTGCTACGCCTCTGGCAAGATTCTTACTTGTATGATGTCCCGAATTTTCAGAATTTCATTCAAATGGGATTAATGGTTACATCGAAAACTTTTAACAGACTGGTTACGTGAAAAACCCTGTATATATTGTAAAACATCTGTAGCACATCAAATACTTCAATCTAAAAATAGTTAACTATAAATTGATTTTTTGGTTCGTACAGTCCGTCTGCGATTTCATATTCTCAATCATGTATTTTCACCGTCCACTTTCTTGTTTATGTCTTACATAATATAATTATTGAGCATGCCTGGAAACCTGTTGTTTTCGCTTTACGATTTATACCTGCAGGCTCTTTAGTATTCATCGACTATAATTTTATTCATTCATCAATAATCGAATCAGTCATGTTATCTGCATTTCTTAGTGATGATGTCATCAATATATCCTCGATTACTATATACTCGAATATAGCGAAGCTTGAAGCAAAATTTCTTCAGTAAGGTATAATAGTATCGAGGAGATACGAGAACTGACTATTCGAAAATATTGACACATAGGTACCTAGAATTGAAAACAGCATGGCAAACGACTGTTCCTCGGACTGTTTATAGAAGTACTGCAAATTATTGTTATCTTTCATAAATCTTGGAGCTCGTTTTCAAGTCTTTTTACCACTCTTATTCTTCCTCATTACTTTCCAGTCCTTTAGTGTCCATGATTTGGATACGTTGGAGTGTTGGGCCAGACCTCGGGCCAGACAGTTTCGAAGGAGATATGGAATATGTATCTCTTTAGAAATTCTTCCTACTTTAAATACTCGATCGTATTCGAAAATATATGGTACTTGTACTTATAAATATTGTAATGTCTTCCAAAGTACCTCAATGTATTTCAAAAATAAGTAAAAATACTTCGTGAGTACTTTATCTTTATCGTACTTACCAACTCTATGGATAACGAATCGTACTGCAAAAATACTTCATCTTTCTCCGAAAGTACTTTTACCTATATACTTATTATACTTCTACTTCTTCCAGTACTCATACCACCACAGGTTTCTCTCGATGTAATGTCTTCTTCCACCTGTTGCAGAATAAAAAGCCATACTCGCTCAATTACTCTCCAGCAGTCACATTCTTGATTTCCATTTCATGTCGCCTAAAATATCATAAGGAGTTTGTTTCTATTCGTTTGATTCATACTCCCAGTTGTTTTCTTGTATTTCTATAAATTCTTCGTACTCGAAACTTGATCGTACTGAGAATATTTACCGTACTTCAAAAATACTGTATCTTACTTGCGAACTCTGTGGATCGTACTTTATCTTACTCAAGATATCTTATCGTACTCACATTACTTTGTCGTCGTACTAAAAATACCTCGAAAAATACATTATCGTGCTTCGAAAAAAAAAAAATATACTAAATCGTACTCACAAATACTTATACTTGTTGCAGGATGGAAGTAGGTATTAGTGTTCTCGGAAGAAATGCATGTGGAGGTTCGTGCGCTTCTACAAGCTGATGCAAGCAGCCATATTTCAAAAATATATAATCGTATCTCAAGAATATTTTATTGTACTGGCGATCTCTGATTATCATACTGTAATACAATTAATGCTTGAACATACCTGGAAATTCTCAATCGCACTTCGAGAATACCTCATCGTGATTACTTAAAATACTTTACTGTACTCATAAAAACACTTCACCGTACTTCTAAAATACTTTATTGTACTACTAGAAATACGTTTTCGTACTCTGAAGAATATCTCATTGAACTTCAAGAAAATACTTAATCGTACTTTAAAAATACTTATACCTGGAGAGATCCGTACAAGTGTTCTTGGGCGGGATGAGGGATTCTGAAATGGATAATCGTACTTCGAAAATACTTTATTGTACATGCGAACTATATGATTATCAAATCGTGCTACAATAAATACTTGAACATACCTGGAAGTTTTCAATAGATTTTCTGAAATACTTTATGGTACTACTAAAAATATTGTATCGTGCGTCTTGAAATATTTTATTGTACTTCTAAAGATACGTTTTCGTACTCTGAAAAATACTTTATTGAACTTCAAGAAAATACTTAATAGTACTCCGAAAATACTTATACCTGTTGCAAGAGAGAAACCGTACAAGTGTTCTTGGGAGGGATGAGGGGTTCATAAATAGTTAACTTAGTTAACTTCGAAAATACTTTATCGTACTTGCGAACTATATGATTATCTCGTACTACAATAAATACTTGAACATATCTGGAAGTTTCCAATAGATTTTCAAAAATACTTTATGGTACTACTATCATACGTCTAGAAATGTTCAATCGTACTCCTAAAAATACTTCATCGTACTTCTACAAATGATTTTTCGTACTTCTGAAAATACTTTATCATTATTCGAGAGATTACTTGATCTTGCTCAGAGAATACTTGTTGCAAGAGAGAAGCTCTACAAGGAGTGTTCTTGGGAAGGATGTGAGTTGTGGTTTGAGCAATCGGGCGAGCTGACACGTCACTACCGCAAGCACAACCCTGCAATATTTCGAAAATTCATAACCGCACTTTTCAACTCTGGTTATCAAATCGTACTATAATACCTACCTCCTGTCCCTATCCTTCCTAGGAAGGCACGATGTTCTTTGAACATTATAGGGATTTCCTTTCGTGCGCTCCAAGCGATAAAAAAAAACTTGAACACGCTCAGAAATTCTCAATCGTACTTAGAGAATACTTTATCGTGATTAAAAATACTGTATTGTACTGAAAATACTTCTCCGTACTTCTCAAAATACTTTACCTACTTCTCGAAATACTTCATCGTACCTACTTCTAAAATACTTTATCGTATTTCTTTAAATAATGTTTTGATCGTCTGCAAATGGTTTACTGTACTTCGAGAAAATTCTTGATCGTGTTCAAATGATACTAATATCTATTGCAGGAGAGAAGTTTGCACCGTACCTCTGAAATATATAACCGTAATTCCAAAATACTACATCGTACTTGCGAACTATATAAATTATATAACGTACTACAATAAACACTTGAAGAGACTTGCAAATTCTCAATCGTACTTCTAGAATACTTTATCGCGATAGAAAACAATATCGTACCTACATACATAATTGTACTTAAAAAATATTTTATCGTACTTTCAAAACACTTTATCGTACTTTCAAAATACTTCAACGTACTTTGAAAGAATACGTATATATCTGTTTCAGGAGTGTTCTTGGGAGGGAGGAGAGTGGTGTTTTCTCTTTCGGACGAGCTGACGCGCCTCTACCTCGAAAATACTTTACGTACTGTCGTATTCAATAAAAAAGAGTACATGTATTAAACATAGAAGATTTCGGCATTCTAGTTCTCGTTGTGTAAAAATTGGCTCAGCCAATGCTTTGTGTTTTTGAGAACCTATGATTACTCTACTGTCAACATTTGGTAAACATTCATTCCCGATAACTCGTTTTACGCAAATAGGATGACGTTAATTTCTCCCTCCAGTATACTTGTACGCTTTTTTCCAAATACGACTGTACTTGCTAATTTTATGGTTATAAAATCGTTCTACAATAAATACTTGAAATTACTTGGAAATTCTCAATTGTATTCGAGAATACTTTATCGTGATTAAATGTACGTTATCGTACTCTTCAAAAATACTTCATCGTACCTACTTCTCAAAATTTTTTATCTTACTTCTAAAATACTTTAACGTACTTCTAAGAATACTTTTTTGTACGTCTCAAAATACTTTATTATACTTCGAGAAAATTTTTGATCGTGTTCAAAAATACTAATTTATGTTTCAGGGGAGAAGCCGTACAAGTGTTCCTGGGAGGGATGCGAATGGCGGTTCGCTCGGTCTGACGAGCTGACGCGCCACTATCGCAAGCACACCGGCGCCAAGCCGTTCAAGTGCCGCCATTGCGACCGCTGCTTCAGCCGCTCCGACCATCTGGCGCTGCACATGAAGCGCCACGCCTAGGCCGGGAGGAAAGGGGGGAGAATGAGGAGTAGGAGGAGGAGGTCTCCCCGCGTCACCGCATCACTGCCAGTTACCGTTAGTGTACATACCTAGATTATTATTGATTATTGATTGGGAGTGTATGTTTATTGTGTATTTGTGTGCATTCTATGTGTGTATGAGACTTGTTGTGGAGCACTCTTCGATTTGATGTGAGGGCGCGCCGAGAATGAAACGGAAATGCTCCATCCTACAGGATTGTTCGGAACGTCATGGTGGCACATGTTGATCCAGAGCGATTTCAATGGCGCATTTCATCTCTAGTCTGAGAAAAACGTACTTTCTTCTACTGAATATTGCATTGAGAACATAATTACTATGTCACATAACATTTGCTCGTGAATTGAATGAGTAGATAAACATCTAATGAATTCCTGAAACATTTCACATGATTTCTTACAATGAACATACATTGATACCTATATCGTCGGAGCAAAACCAAATCTCATCGCTAAGAGATCTGAGATGGATAGAGTTACTGTTTCGACTTACCTGACCCCATCAGTAGCTATCGGTCTGCTGGCCATCGAAAACCCAACGCTTCAGGTATATCACGTCAATTGAAGACGATCACTATAGGTAACAGCTACCTAGAGTGCTGTTTCCTAATTATTATCATGTACCATCTGGCGATGCATTACCATCATGATATATGTTTATTATTACTTTGGTCAGTATTACTAGCAAATTTATTATGCACCTGAAGTGGCGATTTTTCCACTATCAACGTATGTCGAAGAATATCTTTCCATACCTCGTCAAAAGTTGATCGAATACGCCTCTGAAGTCACCATTTTTCCTTTCTTCCGTATGATGTCGAAATACGTGTCGAATTCGCGATCATAATCGTACTATTCGTTATAATGCTGCAAAGAATGTTGTCTCTGTTTGCTGGTTCACAGCCGACTGACCCCTTCCCTTACTCATGTCTGTATGATGCGCGCGCCAAGGAATGTACCCCCACTCTCGCTCAGTATCAGTCACCTTAAAATGAGGGGTGAGATATATGAATTTCCTTTCAACATGCCTCGAGTGGAAACGACAACTTGCTGTAGAATTCAAACCACTTCTAGGATATCGAGATGCTGATAAAATTGAATCAGTGAACAGCTTTGTTTATTTGAACATAATTGTTTGCTGCAGATCTCAAAACACCGACAACTTTAGTTGTTATTCTTATTACTGAGATGCAATTGATAAATTTATTGTGCAATCGATGAAGCTATTGAATGTTATGAAAAATACGAGGGGTAAACCGCTGAGGAAGTATGGTGTACAGCATGAGGAAGTACAAGGGAAGTACGGGAAGTATGAGGAATTATTAGGAAGTACAAGGAAGTATGAGGAAGTACGAGGAAGTACGAGGAAGTAGAAGGAAGTAGAAGGAAGTACAAGGAAGTACAAGGAAGTACAGGAAGTACGAGGAAGTTTATAGTACTTGAAATGCTCACGTTAATGTTCCTATTGCGAGTCCTGCGCGTTAGTGACGATTGATGTGTTATGTTTCATCACCGTCTAGAGACATGACGCATCAAATATTGCGAGCGAGCCGTGCGGAAGTAAATATTCAAAAAATTTCCGGCTGATCCTGATAAAGAAACATCACTGAAATAGCTGAAATTACTATCGGCGTCATAAACAGATTTTCTTCAGTTAATCAGAGGACTTGAACCCACGATCTTTCAATCCATACACACACGCGCCATGGGGCGCCGTGGCCGAGTTTGTCTATGCGCTGAACTTCGCTAGATAGCCGTTTACGATGCGGAGGTACTGTCGGTTCGAATCCGGCTATCAGGCTGAGCCTTTTTCTTTGAAATGTGTGATTCATGGTTGTAGTCCTGGAAGCACCTGCCCTAGGAGTGCCCTAGAAGTGGTTCGGATTCCACTATTGAGCTGTAGGTCCCGCTCTTCCTAACCCCGCACAAGTATCGACTTCTGGGGAGTTGGTTCCCAACTTTGAAGTAGCGATAAACAAATTTCACAAATTTTTTACACGATGCTCTCTTGGCTATCGTGGTTCGTATTGATACGCTCATCGCTAGGGAGTCGCGCGTTACCACTATTACAACAAGGCCAGCAGATTCTGACGTGAACAGCTCGTGACGTTACCAAGAGAGGCCAGTGTTTTATTTTATCGCTTGTCGACTAACGCGTCAGTTCGTGTTAAGTCATCGGTGATTCAGGTATGTATTTGAAACGGTCACGAATTCTTTTGTTGTTTATTCATCAAAATAATTGGCGGAAAAATTACTGTTTTGTGAAATATGTTGTGATGTGATCGGCGGAATAACAATGCCTTTCAAGTGTTGTGTTCCCTTTTGTCGGGGGAATTATGTGGGTGGTTCAAAAGTTCATGCTTTTAGTTTCCCGTTGGACGAGGAGCTATCGAAAATGTGGGTATTTATGCAATTCACCGCGAGGATTTTATTCCATCTAAGTTCAGTAGTGAACAGAGCTCAATTTATAATGATGAATTAATAATAGAAGACAATTACTCTCTCATAAAAAGTATAAGTAGAGGAAAAATAGAAAAGCTTTGATTGTGCAGTTAGTTTTGTATTCGTATATTATAGTCAACAAAATCATCTCTGAATTCGAGGAAATTTTCATGAATGTTCATAATAAACGGGCATTTTTAATTATCATTCTCAAATTTCTTTCTGAAAACGGTCATTTGCCTCGTGGCAATGAATGCAGAATTCATTCCAATGATGAAATTGCAACTATCATATCAACATGAACTACAAACACTCTACTTGAAAAGGTAAAACTGCATTTATTATGATATTTATCATGAAGATATTTGACTAAAAAGTTATGCTGCTTGTTCACTAAATATGAAAAACTCGCCATAAAAATCATATTTCCTGTTGAATTTTCTATATAAAAATGTGCCATCGAAGTACATCATGAGTATATAAAGTGTACAATGACAAAATAAGAGCAAGTAGCTTCAAATGCCCCCAACACAAGGGGAGAAAGAAGGCGAAATTTCGAACTTTTTCTTGAAATATCTCAATAAATAGTGGTTTATTCACATTTTCATTATAAAATTCGGTTTATCAGACAAAAATACGTGAGTACCGAAAAAAAATTTCAAGAAAAAAAAAACCATCGCATGATAAATGCAGTTTTACCCTTAAAAATTACGGTTTCAAGTGTAACGATCCACTTGGGTGAAAAATCCAACAACAGAAAATTGAAAACACTCACTGGTTATTTTTTCAGGTAATAGGAATTCTCCAAGATGAATATACTCGTAAATATAGGTAATTGTAACAAACGGCATGTCAATCAAAATAAAATAAATTTTCCACAATTTTCTTTCGATCAATCTCACGATAAGTTAATGTTCTGCGGGCCCTGTATAAGTAGGTGTGAAGTTTACCTTTACCACAATTTTTGCCAATATATTTAATTCGAATGGGTTGCTGTAGGTGAATATTTGTGTTTTATCCTGATTTTTGCTTTAAAACTTCGTTTTTCCATAATAAAATCGAATGGGGTGCGAAGAAGGGCTCAGTTGACGACTGGCATTCTTTTTTAACCGGAAGCCCTTCAAAAAACAGCAAAATCGGCTCAATGATGATCTAAAACTAAAATCGAAATACGCGGTCGCCTTATAGCGCTATAAGCGCTTGTCGTTTCGAGCCGCTGGTTAAGCCTCACTAAGTGACGTCACCCACGGAGCATGCAGGCCTTGTTGTATCGGTGGTAACGAGTCGCGCCGCAATATTTGGAGCATCCTGTCTAGGTGCTTCTTTATTTATTTTTATTAGTTGGTTGAGTACCTAACGGCTTGCGAGCTTTAGCTGCAGCGTATTTGTCTTGGTATTTATTTGTGAACGATTAAGCTAGTTCAAGTTGAGTTCTGTCTGGGAATAAGGAAAGGTATGTTTCATACGAGGGGTGAACCTCGGTCAAGATTGTGTAGACCAAACTTCAATTTCACAAGGAATTTCGAGGAATTCCAGTTGTTTTTACACCAGAACTATACCGCACTTCACACAAGAAATTTCAAGAAACTTCAAGGAATTCCAGGAAATTCCAAGAAAATCCAAGGAATGGTTTGAATGGCATACACTTAGGATTTCTGGAATTATATTAGGAATTGAAAGAAAGTATAGAAAGTATCAAGGATGTTCGGGAAGTATCAAGGAAGTATCAAGGAAGTACGGGAAGTATCAAGGAAGTACGGGAAGTATCAAGGAAGTACGGGAAGTATCAAGGAAGTACGGGAAGTATCAAGGAAGTACGGGAAGTATCAAGGAAGTAGAGGAAGTATGAGGAAGTATACGATTTTGAGGAAGTAGTGTACACCATTTAGGTCAGCGGTTTACCCCTCGGAAAAATATGTTTTGAAGACTAATATCAGACTATCAGAGTCATAAAATTAAAAATCATTCGACTAGAATCTACACGTATAACGAACTTCTTGGTATTCTTCTTTAAGCTGAAACTTTGTTAATATTCTGAGCAGATATCACTATGCCTAAGTTTCATTTCTATTGTTTGAGATATGGTAATATTGCACGGATCAGGTATGTCACGAGTTTTAAATTGTATGACATAGAAATTTCTTTCTAATTCATTGACAACAGAAGATGAATGTACTAGTTTTTTCCAATACAAGACCGCATTTTCGAGTTATCTTTGTTTACAAAATGTCGAGCATTGCATTAATTCTCCATGAATAATATTCAGTAATGTTACAACAATTCCACTATGATTTCACTTCACTTTTTGAATACAAATTCAACAGCTTATTTTATTATGTTGACTGGTGATTATTTAAAGGGTTTATTGTTTTCTTCGAAGTCTCGTTACCCAACCCAAAAAACATTCGAAAGATTATTTAATAATATTTACAATAAACAATAAACTCGGTATCGTTTAGAAAAAAAGTGATCCGAACAATATTGAATGTTCTTATCAAATTGTCTGATAATTCCCAACTGAAAATAAATGAATCACATGTCTGCCGATATTATAAAAGGATATCGTAATCAAAAGTAAATATTTTGTGAATTGCATAATATCCATTTCTGCGATATTGATAAAAGGTTGGTGCGTTTGGATTGCAAGGGATCTGAGCAGTTGTTGATTGTAGAAATTGAAATTTTTGAATTGAAAACCAAGAATTATACGATTCGAGGTACACATTTTGATGCTTTTAATATGCCGAAAAAAAAACATCTCAAAGGAATCGACGAATTTTCATTATGTACTCGTATTTCAAATTAGGATGGAGCATTTCTTACGAGGGCAATCCTCAGTATTCGTTAATTCTGTGATCTTTGGTGCCTGCTAAGGCTGAATAAGTAGTGAATTGGCGTGGAATAATCCATTTTCATGTATTCGGACCGCAAAGTGATAGATTGTCGCTTGACAAAGAGATTAATCTTTGTGCTCGAAATACACTCAACGTTTTTTTCTACAAACGCAACTTTCAACAAGATAGGAAAAAATAAGGAATTAGTAAAGAACACTTTGGTAACTTGCGATTCAGGCCCCTAGGTTCTTGGACCCATATACAGGACTTCGAAATAATATATTACCAATAAGGTGTCGAAGTTGAAATTTCAAAATTTATTTTCCTCAATAACTTCTACGTTTCTAAATATGGAATAGTATATTGATTACCGAGCACGACTTGATAGTCATTTCCCACGATAATGAACTACGAGTGGGAAGTTAGCATTCTGTGCGAGTTACACACTATACTTTTTCTACGGCAGTAACAGATAATGGCGAAATTCTTTTATTTCTTCGGCTTGTAACCATCTGATACTCTCTATCAGACAGAGCTGTCATTGCTTGAAATTTGTCATTTCATGGGAGATGACATTTATTGTGGGATAATACCACAATGTTATCAGATAAGTAAGGGAATGAGATTGAAGACACACAATGTTCACCTCATTGATTTATATGAAACAGTAAAACAATAGCAATTTTATAGCCGTAGAAAAAATATATTGAAGTAGATAGCAAATAATGATTTCTCATGCGCAAGAACACCGAGTTCCGAAACAATCGTCCAAAAACTGCTAAATAATTGAGAAAAATGCATTATATAATTTTATCTACAACACCCAGTATCTCCCTTTTTACATAATATAAAATTTCCATTGAATAGTTTATCGACTGTATTATATTATGATATAATAGGAAATATCGGAGAGTTCAGTCAATCGGGCTATAAGAAATAGTTATTTATTATACAAGGGAAAAAAGTTGTAGATTTTAGCTCCAGGTTGTGTTGTCTCCCGACGCATAGCGGAGGGAGACAAAAAACCGTGAGCTAAAATCTAATATTTTCCTGTGTATAATACACTATTTTTTTCTGTGACAGAAGCAAGGATGAATCAATATTGAGAAGATATTACATTATTTTGAAATCTGCAAATTATCGACGTGAAATTTTAAGTTTTTAACATCAGGGACACCTGCGTTGTAGGCATCTTTATCATTCTTTTGAAGTAATCAAATATCTGATGTCACTTCTGTCAGTCCGATTCTGTGATTTGATTAAAAAAAATTGCGAATTTAGTGGTTGTTTAGTGATATACGTAACCGCGAAGTCGAATGGAAGATAAGAGGACTTGCAGTTCTTTCTCGGAGACGGTATTATTATTATTGACTCATGTTTCGGAACTACAGTACAACAAAAGCCATCAACAGTGTATATATATATATATATATATATATGATATACAGGGTGGCCCACGGTCGATGGTACCTTAAACGTATACGGAAAACGGTACATTGGAATATCCTGAAAATTTGGTTACTCTAATAAGCGTTTGTGATCTAACGATTCAAAATATTTTCAGCGATGCAGCGTTGCCACTTTTACCAAAAAGTAGCATCATCTTCGTTATTTCAAATGGAACACCCTGTATTTCATTGCGTTTTTAGATTCTTCTCAAAGAGCTGATTTCATCAATGTATCACACTTGGAGTC